CCGAGGTGTGGAGGGTGCTGAGGGGTCAGCCCCAGGCCATCGGTGGTGTCGGTCTATCCGTCTTCCTTTTGAGCTTACTGATTGAGGCGGCTGTTGGGTTGGAGATGGCTCACAGGCGGATTCTGGGAACCATGCCAGGCCGTCCGGATGTCCCAGAGGGCTGCACGCCATTCCCCACCGGAAAATGCTGTCTGTCTCCACGCCACCTGCTGCCACCACCACAGTGCTCACTGTGGGCCAGAGGTGGCCCATGTTGATCGTCGGGGGCTGTGTCCTTGAGGCCATGCCCGGGTGGCCCGGAAGGGCACGGTGCACAGCAGGGCCAGCTGCGTCCCTAGTGCTCGTTAATGGAAACGAAGGCCCAGGAAGGGTCGTTGGGGACCACATGGCTGCATCCCGGCTGCGTGTGGGTTAATGTGTCCCCTGGCCAGGCTCCGCGAGGACAGGTGGAGACGGGCCTGGGCCCGCAGGCCCAGGTCCTCACCCTCCTCTCCTCTCGGGGCGGCACGGACACCGTGCCCCCACCCTGCAGAGGCAGAGGGCAGTTCGGTTATCGTCCTTACGCAGCAGGGTCTCCTTGGAATCAGCCACTTGCCTCATTTGCTAAGGAAAGTAATGGCGGTAGGCAGAGCAGGGCTTGGCGGGGGTGGGGGGTTGGGGGGGAGAGGCCTGGAACTGACCTTTGAGGAGCCGCCCCAGAACAGTGGCACACAGCTGTCTGGGTCAGGGATAGCAGATGGCTGGGCTCCCATGTAGCCAACTGAGGTTCGCGTCCTGCACCCAGAGGCTTAAAAGTCACTCTGGGCACACGTGTGTGCGTGCCCAAAAATCCCAAAAGGAGAATGGAGGAGAGGGGATGCAGTGTGGCCGTCCCCCCTGGGGGGGGTGGTGATTTCTTGCTTTCTGTCTCTGTCTCCCCAGCAAGTGCACACACCTATAGTAAAAACCTCCCCAAAAAGCAAACAAACAAATAAGCCAAAAACAAAACACAGATGCCTGGGTCTGATTAAAGAAGCCCGGTAGCAGTTGGCATAATGGCTACGCTGCTAGACTCCCACGTAGTTGACTGCAGTTTGAGTTCTAGACATGGCAACTTAAACTCACACTAGGCATGTGTGTGTGCGTGTGTGCCCGAGATCTAGAAAAGAAAATGGAGAAGGGATTTCAGCATGGGCATCCCCCCAGGGTGATTTCTCACTTTCTGTCTCTCTGTTTCTTTGGTGAGCACACACACCCTATAGCAGAAGTATCTCTTCTTTTATTTTTTAAAGAATTATTTTACACCCAGAGGCTTAAAAGTCACTCTGGGCACACGTGTGTGCGTGCCCAAAAATCCCAAAAGGAGAATGGAGGAGAGGGGATGCAGTGTGGCCGTCCCCCCTGGGGGGGGTGGTGATTTCTTGCTTTCTGTCTCTGTCTCCCCAGCAAGTGCACACACCTATAGTAAAAACCTCCCCAAAAAGCAAACAAACAAATAAGCCAAAAACAAAACACAGATGCCTGGGTCTGATTAAAGAAGCCCGGTAGCAGTTGGCATAATGGCCACGCTGCTAGACTCCCACGTAGTTGACTGCAGTTTGAGTTCTAGACATGGCAACTTAAACTCACACTAGGCATGTGTGTGTGCGTGTGTGCCCGAGATCTAGAAAAGAAAATGGAGAAGGGATTTCAGCATGGGCATCCCCCCAGGGTGATTTCTCACTTTCTGTCTCTCTGTTTCTTTGGTGAGCACACACACCCTATAGCAGAAGTATCTCTTCTTTTATTTTTTAAAGAATTATTTTATTTTAACTTTATTTATTCATTTATTTAATTTGACCAGAGAGGGAGGGACAGAGTGTTTGAGGGGTAGGAGTTAGAAAGCAAGCTGCCAGGTCTGGGACTCAAACCACTGCCACTTGGAATCCAGCGTCCTTAATTACCATAACACCTTCAGGCCCCAGGTCTCTCTTTAAAAAAAAAAAAAAGCCCTGGGAACCAGCAGTTAGCGTAATGGCTATGTCGCTGGACTCCCACATAGTCGACCACGGTTCGTGTCCCGGACCTGGTGGCTTAAAACTCCCACCAGGCGCGTGTGCGTGTGTGCCCAAGATCCCGAGAGGAGAATGGAGGAGAAGGGATTGTGGCATGACCATCCCCTCTGGGGGGTGATTTCTCACTTTCTGTCTCTGTCTCCCTCTGTCTGGCGAGCGCACGCCCTATAGCAAAAACGTCTCAAAAAAAAAAACCCTGTAGCTTCTTGACTGTCACCACCTCACCCTACCTGGCCTGGCTGCCCCTCCTGGCTTCTCTTTCCTGCCCAGGTGCCCTGGGTTCCCCTTCGTTCTGCCCCACCCTGGTTTTCTTTGGGGCCTTCTTCTCAGGGTCTGGGCTGAATTCAGCACCAAGGACAGTGACCGGCAAAGTGAGGCCTGCCTGTGTGGTGGTCAAACCGGCACTTGTCCGA